GAACTTAGACTGAATAGACAGAGCTCCCCCGCTGACGGTGCTGCTCACGGCCGACGTCTCTGCTCGTGTGGTTGCAGGTCGAGCTGAGGGGCAGATCTGGGCGGTGGATTTCTACGCTCCGTGGTGTGGCCCCTGTCAGGCTTTGATTCCAGAGTGGAGACGCATGGCCAGGGTACAACACACACTTCAAATGCATAACACGCACCCATAAACTGGGTTAAACATCCCGCAGAGGAGTTTGGAATTTGAGTAGACCGGTATAGATAACATCAGGGGAAAAAACTAAACACTCACTTTACCAGGATTTTGTTCGTAGGTCTTCTCACTTTTTACGAGGCAGCAGTAGATTCACCAGAATCACAACATGCACAAACGTCACAGCCCAACTGGATCTCTTTAAGTCCTAACTGATAAATATTTTAAATATATACAAACCAGGTCAGAGGGATTGAGGATGATGACGTTCTACTGAAGTACCATCTGGTTCTGATAAACCGTCATTGTGTTTGTAGCCTTTAAAAGGCAAAACAAGGTATTTTATTGCTCCACTGGTCATTTTGTTCTGGTGGATAAATGTAATAAGGACTGTTTCTAAATAGTAAACACATTAAGCTGATGACAGGCCGGTTCATTTCAACTTTACGGTTAGACTTGTGAGGATGTGTTTGTGTGTAACGTGTCCAACCCGCGTGTCCCTTTCCTCCCGTCTCGCCGTCCAGCTGCTCTCAGGTCAGATCCTGGTTGGCTCGGTTGACTGTCAGCGGTTCCAGTCGTTCTGTCAGGGTCAGAGCGTGAGGTCGTACCCCGAAATCCGCCTGTATCCCGGCAACAGCCGGCAGCCCGATCGCTACACGTATGTCAAAGTGTCCGTTTTATTCTGGTGAACATCTTCGGTGGAGCCAAATACAATTCACACAGTTCAACCCACGGCCATGATCTTGTCTCCTCAGGAGCTATAATGGTTGGCACAGAGACGCCCATTCACTGAGATCATGGGCGCTGAGGTGAGATCGTCTTGGTCAAGCGTCTATTATTGTGCTGATGTTGTGTCCTACTATGGTGTTAATGTTTGTGTGTGTGTGTGTGCGCGCGCAGCTCTTTGCCCAAAGCGTCGGTGGACCTGACTCCAGAGTCCTTCAAGTCTCTGGTTCTGTCGGGTCAAGATCACTGGATTCTGGATTTCTACGCCCCTTGGTGTGGACCCTGTCAACACTTTGCCCCAGAGTTTGAGGTCGTGGCTCGGGTGAGACACCGATGATCTAGATGATCCCCTTTTTAACCTCTGCGCTGCGTTCCCTGTCAGTCGGTGCACTTGTCGAGTTCTATGTGGTCGAGGCTCTCATGAGGATGTCGTCTGTGTGATTGACAGGTCCTCAAAGGGAAGGTCAGAGCAGGGAAGGTGGACTGTCAGGCTCACCATCAGACCTGTCAATCAGCTGGAATCACCGCGTACCCGACCGTCAGATTCTACCCCTACCTGGGAACAAGACGGGTGAGGACGCGCCACCCGAAGCCGCAGCTTTTCTATAGAAATAAATCCCAATTGTTCTGAAGCCCGGATCGTTTACTCTGTCCATCCTGGCCGATCAGCAGTGGACACGTGAAACTCTCTCTCTCACACACACACACACACACACACACACCGCTGCATCCCCAAATCAATTTTAGTTGAACTAGATAATGAAAGAAAGTAGTACGGCATTCATTACCCGTCTGTGTCAGTTAATGTTTTACAACGGGTTTAACCTGCAATACAACAATGACCGCAATCATATCCTCTAACGTGTCACTGTGTGTGTGTGTGTGTGTGTGTGTGTGTGTCAGCATGAACACAGCGGAGAGCACATCAATAGCCGGGACTCGAACGTGATCGTCGACGTGGTCACACAGCGACTGCAGAGGCTGTCGCCGCGGTTACAAAACAAACAGAAGGTAACTGTCTGAACTCAAATTTGAAGATGTAACCCGACAGAATCCGCGTCTGACCGACATCTACCTTTTTTTTTTTTTTTTTTTTCTTTCGGCAGGACGAACTCTGAAGACCTGAGCGGGCGCCGCGGGGAGACAACAGCAATCTGATTGGTCGGCGAGGGACAGCGGTGGATTTGATTGGTCCAGCTCAATGATCAACCTGTCAACACTCCTTGAAGTCCAACGCAGACGGACTGGACACTGACTATTACCTTCTGTGTTGAATGTTCTGAACACTTCTGCCTTGTTTTTATTTGTTTTTATTTTGTCTCCATTGTTTGTATTTACTCTATGAAGTAAAATTGTGAGACACTGGATCATGAACATGTTACTGAGACACACACAGACACACACACGCAGCCCGACGTGGACACAGTGTTCCTTTTTATTGTTCATGTAAGAACTCCAGGACCTTCAGAATAAAACAATGTGTTCCAGTTATCCAATATTTAAACATTCACATGAGATTTTAATTCTGCTTCTCTACTTTCTATTATAAATTAAAGTATTTTTCCATTTATGGATTAGTCAATTGGAAGGGCTGTCACGATATCAGATCTTTGCTACACGTTATGTTTTCACGACAAATTTGGAAATCATCCGTCAGATTTATCTTCAACTTCATTGTGGGTTTTGTTTCTTTTTTTTTGGCAAATTACTCAGATAAAGACTGAAGGGAGGTGGAGAATCAATTTGTAACCATAAGTGTAAAAAATAAAATGATTTAAGAAGGGCTTGAATATTCATAAGATATTATCAGATGTGTACTATTAACATCAGTGGAGATTTTTAAAGGTAAACAATTTATCGGGACACCCCTAAAGGCAATAATGTCATTAGGGTGGGTTTATATTTTAGTTTGTGGTGAGTTGAGGAAGCCCTGTAGCCCGATTGATTGACAACGTGGTCCTGATGCATGCTGGGAACCTCCGTCACCCAGAACGTGTGTATACTGAACAAGATGGATCAATAGTTTAATTACAGTTGGGCTGTAGATTATTAATGTAAAAAATAACACAGGTTTTTAAGTGAGAGAAAAAATTCCAAAAACAAATAAAAACCTAACATCATCTGATTGACAAACCTTTTCTAGATAATAAAAATAAAATAAAAACATTATAAATATATAATAAAAAAAAATAGAGCTTGTGTGTCACCTGTCAAACCAGCAGATGACACTGTTCCTCCTCGGAGACTTCAGCGGGTAACCGCACGGCGCTGAACGCTGATTCACAGTCGGACTGCAGGCTGGTTGGGGACTGTAGGTTCTGTATGTTCTTGTGGTTGCCATCCCGTAGACAGTGACTCTGGAGAGTTTGAAGCAGCGGCGGGTAGATCCTAAAACATCAGCACCGCCGATTTCAAACTGAATTTCTAATAAGAAAAATATGTGTGCGCATATTTAAGTCCAAGACTAAACTGTGCTCTTATTTGTGTTCAGCAGTGCTCCGATTCTCAGCTGTTTTTCATCTGAAGCGTTTGCTGGTTGACTTATCCCATGAGGACATGTGGACCAAATGGGTCCAGAAACAACAACAGAACTGTTATTTAAATCCACAAAATATTTATGGATTTTTTGTAAGAACTAGAGAAAGTTTTTCCGAACAATTATTCATATTTATTCCAGCATTATCCATTTAGGATAAATTTTATTTTACGTAATTTTATTAAGATGTTTCAGATTTTTTTGTTGTTTTCTCTTGTACTGTAATTTTTCAAATGACCTCCAGGTACTTTCCATTCCTGAGTATTAGACCAGTTTTTGTATTCCTCACCCTCCCTGTATCGGGCAGGCGGAGGTCAGCATTGACGTAGCATCGCTCCATAAACCTACTGGAACCACTTAACATGTGTGCCTTCTATTGTTTCATGATGGGAAACGGAGCAGCAAGTTGGACAAACACTGAGGTATTGTGTGAACCCACCGTGGTTTTACAGTGTGTGTGTGTGTGTGTGTGTGTGTTGACGACGTCAGATTCATCAGATGTGTGTTGGATTGCTGAAGCTTTGGTTTGAGAGCAAACAGGGTTACGTCACCAAAAGCACAGAAGGCCAAACTAAAGCGGGACGGCTTCATGTGCAACATTTGAACCCTTAGTGAACACGAGCCCAAAGCACGCGTGCTGCCGTTTGTACAAAATCAAAGTCCCAACCCTCTGTTCCTTGATTTATGTCCCTTCGGGGCCCGTTGGCCCCGGAGAGCCTCTTCAGTCGGTGCCGTCCCCGCAGGCCTCCAGATGTTTGTCCTCGTGGACTCTCCGCCCTCCAGCGCTGAGAGATCCCCTCACGCAGCTGTAACTGCTCCCAACCGAGGTCAGTCGGCATGAAAAATGTTCTGTGTTTGCCGCGTCAGCGCCGGAGGAACATGAACAGAGCGACCCTCAGACCAGGGGGGGAACAGACGACACCTTATGCCATCACCAGGTGTGCTTTCAGCCCAGGTCGACGCGTGAGGAGAGGAGACGAGGAGAGAGGAGAGGAGTGGAGGAGGAGGATGAGGAGGTGTAATGGCAGTAAATCCGTGAAAACATTTTCTCTCATGGAAACTGCAGCTGAGAAAACAGCGCTGGAAATTAGTAGGCAGGAACTACTGGAAGCACGCCTACACACACACACATACCAAAATACACATGCTGGCTGTGTTTAGTGCTGCTGCTCTGTTCTGTTAAACAAACTTTAAGGTCCAGAAAGGTCAACTCCTTTCCTCTTCGAGTTTGATGCTCTCTCTGCATTATGAAGGTTTATTCCCGGACAATTTTACACGCGTTATATACAAGAGTGTTTGTAAACTATTTTCTATATGAATGTCCAAAATATTTTATAGTAGAACTCAACAAAACACTAACCTGGTTGAACTCAATGCAAACCTTGTCCAGAAGAAGTCCCGCCCCCCTCTGGTCGACCTCATTTAGAAAGAAATATGAATGGTATGGTGAGATAAAAATAATTATTTTTGGTTTGTATATGTAGTGAATACCTCCACATTAAAGTGCTTCCTTCAGTAAAACATGTTTTCCAGGCACACAGTGTTGTTGTTTTATATTTTATTATTTGATATATGCTTTTCATTGCTCTGAAACAGGAAGACGAAACACCGTTGGTTGTGATAATAAAACCCTCATACAGCTGTGAAGGGTCCAGATTTCAACATAACAGAGTAGTTTCCTGATAAAAGTGACTATATTTAATGTTAGTAGGTTAACATGAAGCCAGGTACTGTGTGCCAATAAGAGCACTGATCAGTTGTGTTCATGAAAAGTCAAAAATGTCCCATTTAAAAAAGAACCTTCTTGTTTTAATATATATTCTGGTTTCGCCAATAATACCTGCATGAAGCGACAGTAAAATACAGATATCCTCATTTTGAGGTACGGTCACATTAGTCTTTTCATTTTAAATGTTGAGTATGTGTTGTGGTGGCCTGAAGTCTGAACGATACCGTCTCCATTTCCTAACACAGCGTGTCAGTGTTGTTTTTACTGGACGCTCGAACAGTCAAAGACGGACAAAGCTGGAGGTCTCACCGACAGAGGGAGCTCATGCTTGAATTTGTTCGGCTCAATTGGAATTGTTTGACGGGTGGGAAGTGTGATGTGGCTGTTCCTTTTCCAACTCCTTCTTCCCCACAGGAATTACAGCAGATCAATCACTGGCTGCATGTCTCTGTAATTGTTTAACATGGCCTCACATCAGCGAATCTACCTGCCCGAGCCAGAGAAAGTACTATTATAACTGTTCTGTGATGGAATCCTGATGAGCTTGAAAAACGATTAATGGAGCACGACTAAACAACATGTGTGCATTTTAAAGATTTAAAAAAGGAATTCAGTTATTTTGAATGAGTGAATGGTTTTTCTTACTTCGTCCATAAGTAATGAAATAATAACAGTATTGCTAAATGTATTTTCTATTTTTCACATAACATTGAATTTTGTTTTCTTCCTTTGTAAACTTTCCATTTCATGATCAATTGAATTAAAGCATTGTTCCACAGAGACCTTTCCAAAGGGGAAAAGAAGCCATTATATCGCTTTATTTAGTCACGAGACTCCAATAACAAAATCCTCACATAACACAGAAGTATGCACACAACCCCACGTAAAAAAAATCAAAACAAACCCTTAGTTATTTCCAAATTTAGCTCAGCTAACGTTGACTTAGCTTTGCATTTCGCATTTACAGGTTTCATAAACGTTGGGTGTCTTACTTTGGTAACCTGCGCCGCTGCACCACCTCTAAGTGACGTCGGCTCAAACGAACAGCTACAGAAGAGTTGACACACTCTTCCTACGGTACATGCACTCAGCGGCCACTTTACGAAGCACAAATGTACTTTTATTATATTGAATAATGCTCCGTTACTGTTAATACTACGATAGCGTGAGTGGATTAAATCATGTGTTGGGTTCAGAGTTAGTGGTGATGTCAAATGTTAGGCTATTCAAAGGTGACATTCTGCCCCCCTCATGTATGTAAACAAGGACGGCAGAAAAGTTAGAAACACTTGTATGTATATAAGATGACGCTGTTGCAGTGAGTTATTATGTTGTGATGGTGTAACTAATAAAGGGGTCACTGAGTGTAGGTTTCCTTAGACATTAGTTGTTTCTGTGACACATTGAGACCAGAGGAGGCACCGGATTCGATTCCATCCGCCCACATTCTCCTGCCGCTGTTGCCCCTGTTGCTTGCCCCCCGTTGCCGTAGTTGCCGTTGGTCTTGTTGCCGTGGTTTCTGTCGGTCTTGTTGCTGTTGTCGATGAACAAAGTTTGAATATTATACTTGACTAACGTTAAGGTCATGGCTACAGGTCCATCATAGTCCTAAAAGGCCAAGTCCAAATGGCTTTTAATGTCCTCCGTCCGTAAAAAGTGTCATGTACATAATGTATGGCTTTGCGTAGGGTTTAGTGCTGCTGCTCCACCCCTTCTCTTGTCTTTTTGAGTGCTTTACGTATACACACAAACACAAAAACACACACACACACACACACACCACACACACTAAACGCACGCTAATTGATGTTTGTGCAAAAAGAAAATGAACTACATTCAGCTACAACAGCTGGTGATAGTGCAACGTCTACACACACATACAGACACAAGCAGTCCCACACATCCACACACACACACACACACACACACACAAACACACACACACACAAACACGCAGTCAGATCTCAGTGGCGACTCCGGCGCTGAGCTGCTCGGCCTTTCCCCTGCAGGGTCTGATTCCATCTCTGGACAAACAGAGGGGACAGGAAATCAAAAGGTCCGTTACTCCGCACATAGTTGACAATCACGTTCTGTTGCTATGGTAACCCTTAAGAATTCCCACCACACCATTCCCGATCAATCAACTAAATCAAGTGGTTTTACAGCGGAGGAGATGAATCCACTCCAGCCAGAGAAGCTTGACGGTCGGCTAATGCCTCGCCCCGCTTTGTTAACGCGCATTCAACGTTCCACTCTGGAACGTCACGCGCTTGTGGAACAATCGTCCCTTCACTGCAGGCAGATCTCGGGAAAGGCCGCCTCTCGTTTCTGGTAGCAGTAGGAGTTGGCTCCACGTTTTTCTTTCAAGCTGTTGCCAGATGTAGAAATGGTGCAACTGACAGTGTCACACTGTGCAACTAAAATAAACTACAACAAACAAACCCCTCAGGAAGTAGCAGGTGGCGTTCACTTCATACCCAACATTTAACAGGTCACCGAGCCGCTGAAAGCGTGTTCACATGCAACATAACAGGAGACTCTTCTGTATTTGAATTTTGCACCTTGATCTTCCTGCTCATTTTCTCCCTCCACTTTTGGGCAATGGAGCCGTCAATCAGGAGCAACCTGCAGGCACAAATCACAGAGCGGGTTCTCAACGCCGTTACGCTTTAGGGTGCTAACATTAGCAATTAGCATTAGCAACCCAGTTTGAGAAGCCTTGCATTGACGTTTAAATATATTGCCATTCACTGTCCGGACTCTGCCCTCGTACCTGGACATCTCATCGTTCTCGTAGCCCATGATGAGGTACTCCTCCCCGGGGGAGAGAGGAGGACACAAGCAGGAGGAGGAGTAGTACAGCGTCTGCGTCTCCTTGGGAATGTTGACCAGAGAAGACTTGAGCACCTCCTTCACCTCCACCACCGCCGTGGGCTCCAGGCCGCGGTTCCTCACCTCCCTCACCCTGGCTCTGATCACTGAAGGAGGGAGTCGTCAGCATACATGGACACAGTGGGCAGCGGCGTTTCAATCCCACACAGAAGCTCGCGGGGCTACATGAACCCTCGTGTCCACCCAACACACCTGTAGTTTGAGCTGTATTTCTTATAATCGGTCGCCCTGAAGACTGGCCGCTGTCCTTGGTGCTGAAAAGACAGCAGGTTCTAAGGACAGCGGCGGCGTTACGGAGGTCAAAGTCTGCTGGGATTGGACGCTTCCGTTTTTAAAAATCTGGTTTTATTGATTTCTATCCACATAAATGTCTCAATGCCGGTAAAAGTAAGCTCATCCATACACATATATGTCTTCGTAAATGCACTTTGGTGCAAACAAGAACGGAGACGCCGTCAGAAGGAACTAGAAGAGGTGGAAGGAGCAGAGATGAAGGAGAAAACAGCACAACCAGGGGCAGCATGTGTGATGTAGCAGGTTGGAGTAAAATGTAAAAACAACAGTGGTGTTAATTAGCAAAGTCCCCCTTGACCTCTGAGGTGCCATTACGCTTCAATAAACTCTTATGACATAATAATAATTATTATTATATCACAACATTTCGTTGTGTGAGCTCCGCTTCTTGCAGAGAGAGAAATATATAATCTTCCTCAAAAGGATTTTGTGGCCGAAGGAGGATTAGCTCAATACGTCCACATGGAAATCTCTGTTGGTTTTGCCAAATCGTGCCGGTGCGCTGTGAACATCTGGAATAGCCTTTCTGGGCTTTTCGGTTTCGTGTGTAATTTGATTTAGGAACCAAACAGCCAGAAAGAGAAGTCAGAGGGAAAGAATCTGCTGAAGAGTTTGGGGATACTGAAATGGACCTCATGGAACAGCTGCTGGCGAGGTGAAGTAATGAGCATTTCTCACTGTAAAATCTGAAATGCACCAACAACCAGCGTTGACTTTGTGTTGCACGCAGGCGGCACACTGAATACTGAAGCCTGCAACCTGCATTCTCCTCACTGACCAGCGGGGGCGACTCCCACAAGTTCATGGAGGTCTATAAGAAAAGCGCTTTACTTCTCACTTGATCTACTCCCTCAACAAACATTGTGAACATTCGTGGCCTCAAACTCTCAAGTCCTCTTCAATAAAAAAAAAATGCTTTTTGTAGAAAACTATGGTCACATTAAGACTTTTAATTATTGTCTGGTTGCTAGGCTACCAGAGCTGTATCCGCCATCTTTTAATCGAGCCAAGATTGCCAAACTCGACAGTCCACAAGCCAAAGAATATTCTTCTGTGTCATATCTATAAAAAAAAAAAAGTGTGAAATGACTCACCGTAGTTGTAGTTGTTCCTCTGGTAGTTTTTGAAACCCATCTTGACTGTCTTACACTTGCAGCGATCTACAGACACACAAAACAAAACAATGTGTTCAGGCTCCACCTCCTGAGAAGACCTCAGTCTCTTCCAAGGCTTAAATCCCTGTATCTCAATGTTTAAGGTTACAATGCTATGAATTGTGCAGAAAAGCTAACAAAGTGCGCTGGAAAGAAAGACAAGAGCCCCTCAACAAGTCCTCTCGCACGTTGAAACAACGCAGCTCAAAGTCCGTGAATCGGTGACCGTGAATGTGTACATTGGTAATGGGGCGCAGTGACGAGCAAACAGGACGGTCACCTGCGTTTGGGCCTCTGCAGTGTAGGTTGTTGGAGTCCATCGGAAAGTCTGGACTGGATTCTGTGGGAGGATGAAACCAAGATCAGCACTTTGGGAGATTGTGGAAACTGGTTTCCAACATTTGCATGTCGTCAGGGTGCGCTCGATTATTTCCAGGAGCTGAACCGACTAGCTGCCTTGTTGTTCTGTCTTCTGTGGATATTCTGGGTTGATCTGTTGGTTTGTTATCTAATGATGCTGTGTCCAACACTCAACCTGCTAACACAAAGAGGCCAACCTAAGAAGGCAGATTGAACAAGGTCAAAGGTCGCTCTCACCTGGGTTACACCTGGCTGGGTCCTGGGGGTATGGATCTACAGACAGAAATCATGCACAGAGAATGAGACACGCTGGTGAAGTCAGAACTTGTTGTTATGACGTGTAGGACATGAGCGGAAAAAAATGAGATTGTGGATACAATCGACCAAAGATACCAGACTCAAAGTCTTGTTTGCTCGCCACCTGTTACCCCCCCAGGTGACAGACGGCTTTAGGGCTGGACTTTGTGGCAGCGTGGCTGTAATGCTCATGATGCTCATAGTCCCTGTGTCCAAGCGTCTTTGAATGCAACACCGAGTTAGCAATGAATGGAAACAAAAAGACAAACTGTGGCTGCTTCTGATTTCTGTTCCTACCAGCGACCGGCTTGTTAATGGCGTCCTTTAGACTGGAAACCGGGCCACTGAAAACCCCAGAAAACAACCCGAGCCTGGCCGAACCTCAGAAAAGCAACAAATCACTAAACCACGGGGGAAAACCCCCAAAAACCCCGCCGGGGCCGAAGCCGCTCTGAGATGCGTGGGCGTATCGTCACGGAGGTCGAGGGGATTGAGATTACTTCTCTTTTTTTCTCATTTGCAGAACCTGCTGGTCGAGGGACTGTTTAAAGAAGCGGAGGACAGTGAAGGTTTTATTGAGTGTAAAACGAGTGGGCCGCCTGCATCAAGGAGCTCTTTGAGAAAACCCGTGCGAGCGGAGCTGGTGGGGAAATTACTCACCCTATCTGTTCGAGAAAGCCCAGCGAGGGAGCATGATAGAAAACATTGGTAATACTCAGCCAAGCGGGGAAAACTGCTTCCTGATGCTCCGAGTTTTTTAGAGAAAAGGGAGAAATATGCCAATTTCAAAGAAGCCTCCTTATGGACTTTATAACATTAAAGTGATCCCAGATGAATATGTATCGGCTCTGTGGGCTGTTCCTCCCTTTAACTGTTGCCTTTCCACTTGAATATAATGAATATGATGATATTTTAATATCACTAAAACGTACGTCGTTGAAAGGAGCTCAAATAAACAAATAATGTTAAAAAAAATCAATACTTCTGCTTCATCTCCTATATTCTGTGGGTTCTCAGGTTTTCAGTCATAAGCTCAACGCACTTTTTAGTTTGAACGCGTTTCTTCCTGCTAATGAATTAACCCTGTCCACGGCGCGCAGCAGGGCGAGTGGTACCTGGTGCCTCGGCCTTCACGATGGCCTCGGGCGATATGCAGACGCCGCGGTCGTACAGCGGCAGCTCGCTGCAGGCCAGGCTGTCCGGCCAGCTGTGGTTGTAGCGCTTCATCACCGGCTCGCAGCCCTGCTTGGCCCGCTCGCACACCGCCTTGCAGGGCTTGATGGGCTCGTGCTGGAAGTCGATGGTGCAGATGGGGGCGTACATGGCACACAGGAAGAAGAGCAAGTCCGGACTGCAACCGGTTCCTGGAGGGGTCAGGGGGACACGGACGGGTGTGTTACCGCCGGCGATCGATCCGTGAAGAGGGTTCTCGTACAACCTTCAGGGCGTGTTGTCGGTAGAACCCTCTCAATGGGTTCCAGTTCCAAAAGGAGTTCTCCTACAGTGATAAGCGTAATAACTCCAGGGTGTGGGCAGAGGAGGAATATGTGATTTTTATTTAGAGGACTGCGGTTCGGCAGCACAAAGTCACAGAAATACTTTCAACTTGCGGACCCGAAGCGGCTTGCCGGTTTTGGGTCTGCAGGTCTCTCATTAGGACATTTTTTCTGGTTAAAGCCGATTGCCTTCCCCACTTTCCCTCTCCAGTCTTCCGACCTCAGCTGAATTCTAACTTCAACCAATACATGCGTGTGCTTATTGAAGACAGACGCGTATTGGATCATGAAACGCGGTGGCAGGCGATGAGGTCGCACAGCAGAGGACCGTGTGGCCACACGTCTGCGTCATACAAGTCAGTTCAAAGATATACAGTTAAGCTAAATATATCTTAATGAAATGCACAGATATTTGACTGTGGGATTGTGATTCATGCAAAGAACCTACAGAGACAGACGGATAAAGAAAGGGAAACTTACAGATTAAACTGTTGACGGTCAAAATCTAATCTTTATATACATAGTTGACAGATGGAGACGGTGTGTGTACAGAACGTGCAGGTTTGCAGAGAAACATTATCAACACAAGTCAACAACTTATCAAAAACAAACACGAGTTGTAACATCCACTATCGGCTGGTGTGCAGAGGAGAAAAGAGTCACAAGTTCAAGTTCCATGTGACCGGTGCTCAACATACATTTCTACTTATCCAAACCTTTTGCATGTGCTAATTTCACCAATGTTTCAAGTGTAGAATACGGTCTAAAAATGTGCATTTGTCTACCGTTAAACCTTAAAACGAAGGCTGGACAGACCAACCCTCCGAGGTAAAACGACCTCATCTCGACTGAAGACAACAAGAAGAAGAAAAATGCGTAAGAAACTGCTTTGTGGGCGAAGAACCCAGGGCCAAGTTTCTATAAGCCACCAAAATAAAAAGTTTAAATCGGAGGACGCGGGAGGTGAGGCTCAATTCAGCAGGAGGAATGTTAAGAATGGGATCCTGGCGCTCAGTATGCCAAACTTTACGTGTGCGGTGAGCATGTTTTACAAATGTCAGTTTTAGGCTATCGTGGATAACGTTACAACAGCGATACCGTATTTAGTTTGTGCTAACTTGCAGTGAGAGAAACAACATTAATAACGATTGGGCTCTTTTTTTTATTGGAATTAGTTGTGAATGGACCTGAAAGGAGGAGAGCCTTGCTCTTGAATATTGATTTGTGATATGTTGTAACTATGACGCCTTCATGTTCACGGTTTCTGATCTCGCCAAACAGCTGAAATGTAAACTGCCATTTTGAGAAGTAAACAGCTGCCAGTAAAACATGTTCTTTCGAGGTGCATTTGACTCTGTGAAAAGTGAGCGGTTGATTGATTGATTAGTAAATCAATAGGAAATTGACAGGATTAATCATCATTGTGATTGTAATCTTCAGGTTTTAGTCAAGGTAAGACATTTGATGACGTCGCCTCTCTATAAACTATGTTTATTGACTTGACGCCTGCAGGGGAATGTCTTTGGCAGCTGTACGGAATAAGTCCAGTACATCGATATTACCCAAAAGGAATATAGAACACATCAGCACACATCTTCAAAGTCCAGCTGCTTTATCCCTGCCTGGCGCAACGAGAGACAACTTTTGTCTCTTCTTTGGTAAACTTAATTGAAATGTTGCTTTCCGCAATAATGTTTCCATGACCTGATGGTTTAAGGTTTCCTATCGCTGAGTCAGAAGAGTTCATGGCCAGATCTCTGCCAACTGTTTCATCCCCCCTGCAGAGTTAAAGAGGAGAAGAAGCTGCCAGTGAACTCTTGGAAATGGCTGATAAGACTTGACGTTACATGGAACATATAAGCAAACACGCAAACCTTAGAGCAACTAATCTGGTTTTCACTCTCCAGTGGTTTGTAAAGTGATATAGAGACGTACTGACGGACAGGGTGACATCACTGGGTTACTGTTACTGTGTGGTCAGTTGGAGAAACTTAATCTTGAAATGTTTTCCCATCGATGTTCATTAAAAGACCCATCTGTCTCTGCTGTTCTCTAATTCCTCCCCTCCTCGTATGTTTATTTCTGCCCATCCTCTTCTGTATTCTTACTTTTATTATTGAATAAATTCATTATCCGGCCAAATGAGGTTTGAGAATTGTAAAGTATGCATCATTTCACAAAGCTTGACACATTCAAATCACTTTCGGTTCATAATCACAGAAAAATAACTGAAAAAGACTGAAACCAATTCTTAAAAACGGATCACATATTTTAAAATTAGATCAGCTAAATGCACCTTTTCAAATGAGATTACTGTAATAGATACTCGCGTCATTAGCCCTGTGGTTGTCATGATAATGCTTTTAAAAAGTTGTAAAAGAGCCCTAAACACGTCCGAAAGGGTCCTTCCACTCACCCAGCAGCCCCTCGTACTGCTCGATGGCCAGCACCGCGTTGTCCTGCGTGCTGTGGTGGAGGTGGTTGGGCATCTTGGTCATGTTCCACGGCATGGAGGCGCACAGCGGGATCCGCACCGACTCGCAGGACGCCGCCCGGACCGCCGCCGCCGGCCACAGGGCGCAGGACGCGGCCAGCAGAGACACGCAGAGTCCCGGGGAGAGCATGTTTCACCGGAGGCGCCTCTCGGAGCTCAATGCGCGGGGAGTTTAGTCCCAATGTGGACCTGGGTGGGTTTTTTGTTGTTGTTGTTGTGTGTTTTTGCTGCTGATTGGTGCGTTTTCTGCCGCCGCTGTCCGGTCTGCAGCCCGAGGAAGCGGGAGGAGCTGCTTATTCAGACTTTCACCCCCTCCTCTTTCTCCACCCCCCCCCCCCCCTACACACACACACACACACACACACACACACACACACACACCCTCCCCTCTTCTGCTTTCTTTACCCCCCTCGGCTCCTCCACCTCTTCTCTTATCCTGCGCGTAAGGGAAATAGATTCCCTTTTGATGAAAAGTCAACACCAGTAAAGCGGTTAATCGCGCGCGTGTGTGTGTGTGTGTGTACATTTCATGTTAACACTTTTAAAATTGTTTTTATTTATTTGTAAACCCACCTCCCCAAATAATCTGTGTTTAGTTTGGGCCCCTATGTAATGTTTCACACGTCTTTTGAGTTGGATTAACAGTTTCATCGCAAAACACGCAAGTTAATTATTTAATTTTAATTTTAATTTAATTAAAGCAGGTTAAATTGAGCCTTCGCTAGGCCACGCCCCTACCCCGCCCCCCAAGCCGTGAGAGCTACGTCATCGTGGAGCCCATCTGCACTTTCCTGAAATATAATTAGGAGGTTGTTTTAGATAAAAGCAGGAAGACCTTCAGCCGCCACCGAAACCAAACCCATCGGGCTAAAATGGAAATAATTTCATCTTGTGGTTATCATCTTCTCTCCCATGTTTGGCAGAGCAACTTGACGCGAGGACTGACTCACCCTTTGGTTTCACATTCATCTTAATGTGGATTCCAAAGTGGATTAACTATTTCCATTTGATTTGACTTTGATGTTTTTCCAGTCTCAGTCTTACTGGGTTGTCGGTCTGAATCCGAGTCTTGCTGCTGTTGGATCGCCAACTGGTGCTGACCTTTGACCCCAGCAGGCTTGTTGCATTAACAGCTTGGTTATTGGCCCATTAAAGCTGAACATGACGGAGCAAACTGCAGTGTGTGTGTGTGTGTGTGAGTGTGTGTGTGTGTGTGATACTAATGGATGTCAGATGTTGAAGGAGCTTCCCATGTTAGGGTCAAGTTACAGCCAACACACACACACGCACACACACGCACACAAGGTCTCTGGGTTTTCTGACTCATGGATCAACATGCAGAGAACTGAGTCAGCACTTTCCCTCCCATCCTTCCTTCTCTCTCTTTTTCTCTCTTTCTCTTTCCTTCCCTCATGTTTTACTTTCTCGATTCCCAATTCATCTCTGTCTGTGTTTGTGACGTTTAGCAGGAAAAGTCTTATCAGCGGATCACAAGCACGTAAACAGGGGCACAAACACACACACACCAATGCAACCGAAAAACCATCTCCTTTTAAATCCCATTTCCTATTCTCTTTTCTTCTGGTTTCCTTTGCTCACCTCTCTTTTCCGCTTTCTGAGATCTTAAACAAACTTTTGTAGAAACCTAACGTCTCTCTCCCTTTCTCCCTCTCTCCCTCCCTGTGTGTATGTGTAAGTGTGTAAGTGTGTATGTGTGTTGTGGCTGTTGTTCAGGCAGAAACCTGTTTCTATCTACCTCTGTATGTGGAAATATTCCTGAATGTGGAAACTACCTGAATCTTTTCCAACACAAATAGCACTGCAGCTGTACACACACACACACACACACACACACACACACACACACACACACACACACACACACACACACACACACACACACACACACAAATTGCGACTGTTTGAATTGACTGTTAAAACATTAGCAGGTTGGAGCTCATTGGTGCATTACTGCAAACACCGTAGGACTCAATAAGGACAGTTTCTTCTTGTTAGAACGTGATGCATCCATTACCCACAATGCAACTTCACTGCTGATAGATTCAGGTGCATCATTTCAGCAGCCGGGCGCCTCCGGCCTGCAGCAGAGAGGGGGTGCGGGCTGCAGTGCTATCGGACCCAAAAACAAAACAAAGCATCAGGATATTCACTGTGTGACTGTTAAAACAACGAGACTTCAGTTTGTGCAGAAACTCTGAGAGCTGTTGCAGAGGTCAACATCTGGTTTGTTTGTCTGTTTGTTGTCAGGAGTGCACGGAACCGTACTGTAATTGAGAGTGCAGAATTCTATGTTATTTCTCACTAATATCTTATACATACTACACAAACATCCTTTGCTTGTGTAGTGTTGTGCTCACACTGCGTGTTTTCAGAGTTCGGCATCTTTAGATCACAGGATGCAAATACACACATTAGAATGTGTTTATTCATTCATTCAAAATCTTCTTTTAAACTTCGAGTCCTTAGCGGCGGATGAAAGCGGGGCTGTGGCTCCCTCTTGTGGAGCACACTGGAAACAGCATCCCCCATACACACGTTCATATTCTTTACTTTTTCAGCCAGATGTAATTATCAATATTGTATAATGCTATTATATTAAAAACCGTTTGTGTTGTTTGTTGTTTTTACAAGTCCCCCCCCTAATGAGTCCACCATAAACATGTATTTTTCCTTCTTCCATATCTGCGATACATTTAGATGGAATTGACTCTGCTGTAGGTCCGTGTCATCACGCACCTGGTAGGTGTGTCGCTGTCACTGGTGACAGGCAGCAGGTTTCACGTTACACAGCAGCGGTTCAGTCTCACCTCCAGCAGCGTCTATGCAGTTCACAGTTTAACTCAGCCCGGACAGACACGCTGCAGGACCACAGCCAGTAAGACTGGCTTTGTCCTGGACCTGGTCTACTGGGGACCAGGTTTAGTCTGCATCAGGAACCCGGAGGGACCGCAGGTTTTACTGAACCGAAAGGTGTTTTTTTTCTTCTTCTTCTCTGGAGCAGAAAATGACCAACTGTGTTTCCTTTGTTGAAAGTGAACTGGACCACTGCTGAGCTCTGGTTTTCCTGTGTTTAAACTGGACCTGGAAGTGAATCAGTGCTTTTCTGAAGCGAACCGGATCAGCGGCGAGCATCTGAAGTAACAGGTTCCTTCCTTTTTATATAGAATACACAAAATACCACACTTATAGACTAATTTATCTGCTTATCGTATTGATCTAGCATGTTAGCATGCTAACATCAATGTAGGGTGAAAATTGACATTGAAAAATGTTTACAACTTAAACGTGAAAACCTGCATTCACATCATCCGTAGCCGTACTGTATTAAGCTAATGAGCAGAGCCTGAAATGCAGTTTGATTGGTTGATTGTCAGCATGTTACAACTACAGTGTGGGTGTATTGTTCTGTCATTTTCTACACAACCTACACTGATCTAACATCATCCATTACGAGTAATATCCGACTACCGTTCATTTATCCTCCAGGTTCACTCCAGTTGAGTTTAGTCCGCTCTGATCTGGTCTGCTCATGCAGTCCCTGACTGAGGAGATCCAGAGCTTCTCTCGGACGCGGCTGAGGAAGCAGTGCACGCGCGTGACGTCACTGAGCGGCCGTCGCATCATCGAGACCTGGAAGGGCTCCACCATCACCGTGGTCGAAGACCCCGCGCCCCCGGAGAAGATGCTGGGATACGTCCCCGATACCTCCTGGGACCCGCAGGTGGGCATCGTGAGGCCCTACCTGCTGCTGGGTGAGTGAAGCCACACACACAAACTGACTGGAATGAAACAAACCCAAGAATGACTTTGTGCAGCAGAAGAGAGTATTCTGTGTGAAGGTTTGTAGAGTAGAATTTTAATTTTAATGGCATTGGTCTGTATAATGACATTTCTCTGAGCGAATAGCGCTTAATGATCGAATAGATTCACAGGGTTAAAGGCACGTTTACAATTCGGTGCCGGCGCAGTCATGGTGATTCGTCAACTTCCAACTACGGGCTGGATTTATCTATAAAGCAGCAAAACAAGATGCAACAAGACAAGATGATTCTTTATTAGTCTCACAGAGCAGTGGCTCCACTCAATGGACGGATCCACTCCCCCCCCTCGCCCCGTCCTGGGAGCCCCCTTCAGTCCACCAACACCGATAAACACCCCGGCTCACAATAGAGGGTAACCGGAGCCTTGGTGGGAGGGGGGGGGGGTGGAGGATATCGGGATGACTGAGCCAGCAGGGTTCACTGGTTCACAGGTGGAACATAAATGACCCTTTGACCTCCAGCTGAGACTAAACCCTTTTGAGGTTATCTGGGTTCAGCACCCTGGACAGCGTCTTGAGCCGAACAAAGGCGATCCCCGAACTAAATCTATATCTTTATTGTTGTATGTATTTCTGTGTGTGTGTGTGTGTGTGTGTAGGTTCTCAAGATGCTGCACATGACTTTGGCACTCTGAAAAAACACAAGGTGCGATCACACAAAGCATGATGGGAATCCTAGTTTATCCGATGTGAGAAAACGAATGAAGAAAAACTTTTTTCATTGAGAAAAAAGAAAAGGCCTTGAACAGAAATACAGAAACTGAAATTCTTAAGTTATAGCTTTTACTTTTATTTTCTGCCATCAGTTCAGTTATTTCCCCCCAATATTGAGCTTTTCCAAACGGTTTTGAGTGCTTATTCCCAAAAACCTTGCCTTGATATTTCAGTATGTACAAGATGATCTGAGTTTTTACAAAACTATACAGGCTAATCTGCTCAGTGAGGGTCAGTAAAGTGTAGAGGACGACCTTTAGTTGCCTCCTACTTCCTCTTTGACTCAGTTTAAATGCCACAGAGGAGTCACAAGTCCCTCCTCCTCGTCTCCCTCGTCAGGTGTCTCACATCCTGAACGTGGCCTTCGGGGTGGAGAATGTGTTTCCTGACCTGTTCATCTATAAAACCGTCAGCATCCTGGATCACCCCGACGCCGACGTGCTGCTTCACATCCAAGAGTGCTGTGACTTCATCCAGAAGGCCCGCAGCGAGGTAACTCTCACTGCTACGGGTTACATCTCTATCATTCAATATTAACTACTTATTCCTTGAACCACAGGGCTCAAACACACACGGTGTATAATGTAGGGATTGTGGGAGTAAGGGTCTTAAAATGAGGGTTGAGTGTGACGCGTGTTTCAACATCTTCTCCCCTCCGCTCTCTCCTGCTGTGAATAATAGATGTTTAGTTTTGTTCATCATTTATTAAACTGCCCACAGATCAGATCTCACTGTCATACAAGCTTTTAGCAGCAAAGCCTGCGACTCACCTCAACATGACACCACACACACGCGCACACACAGACACACACACACACACACAGCGTGTTAGGAGGTCATTAGTGGTGTATGATTACTCAATGTGTGTGTGTGTGTTCATTATTACATTGTTGAGTGCATGTAGTAATTCCAGACCTGATAATCAAACTGATGCTTTTACAAAGAAATGCAGGGTCACATTACCCAGAAGGCCATTGGGCTGGTAATGACCCTCACATATTGTTGCTGCCAGGATAATGGCAGCGTCATGTGACTGAGTTTGTGACCGTGTTACAGATATATAAAGTGGTCGACTTTGCTAAAAACATTTTTTGCAGCAATATGACCCTAATTTTGTCACAAATGTCCTGAAATGTTTTCAGTATTTTTTATAAATATTTGCGTTCTTTAAAGCAAAGGAATCGGGCTTTCAGGAGAGTTTTACCTCCAACGTATTTGGGTTTTTGATTAATGCTTGGCAACTATGCCGTCAAGTATGCACCTAAACCTACACGCCGCTGACTGAATCTGATCCGCTGTTTGCACGCGAGGCCTGAAAAAAACGGACGCAGCTGTGGCAAAAACCCTCCAAGGAACATAGAGGCCGTAACGGAGAGCAGAGTTGACACAAACAAACAAGCTGTCCACTTACGAAGCAGCACATCAAGCTCCAACAGGATGAGGTCAGCTCTGTTCTGTTGGTCCTTAGAGCCCTCTAATGTTCAGAGAGCATCCCTGCAGTTCATCATCCAGCAGCATCTAGCTGGTTAACGTAGCGGAGCATAAAGCGGCTAAAGAGACCGATCTTTCCCTCGTGGTTGGTGGAGACCCAAAACAGAGCTAAAATAACGAGACTACATAAGAGAAAAATCAATATTTCCTTCTGTTTCTCCGTCAGAAAGGTGCGGTGTTGGTCCACTGCAACGCCGGTGTGTCACGGGCGCCGGCGGTGGTCACTGGCTACCTGATGGCGTGCGAGGGCCAGTCCTTCGACGCCGCCCTCTCATTGGTCAAATCGGCTCGGCCCGCCGCGTCCCCCAACCCCGGGTTCATGGAACAGCTGAGGAGCTACAAACCACAGATGATGAACGGATGCAAACGCTGAAGGAGGAAGGGAAGATGCTCAAGGCGCTTAGATAGTTTAAGAAGAAATAAGTTTGACTTTAATGAGAAATATTTCATGTGATTTGAAACAAGTTATATTTGGGGATTTTGTCCTTGAAAAGGGATGGATCTGGTTCTACTCTGGATTAATGAGCCTGAATAATCAGACTATGAAAATGTTTAAATTACTGCACAGCAGCTAAACAGGTTTGGCATAAAATACCACATGTTGGAAATTCATTCATCGTAAAAAAACATCTGTCTCCCCCTTAGCTGTACCTTTAGATTAGATGTGGTTTTATTTATCTAGGGACTAAATTATTATTATTCTCTTCCTGATTGCGTGGTTTTGTTCTGTGTGTTTTGGTGTTGTCGTGGTCTTACTCACGTCTGTGATTTTTTTAAATAATATTGAATCTCTATGTAAGATTTTTTTGTCTGCATTTGAACCATCTTACATGTTTCAGAGTAGCGGGCAACCACAAACTCCAGATTCTTTTTTTATTTCTAAACATGACAATAAATTAAAAATTGAATGATAGAAGTAAAATAGTTTGGTGTAACTGCTCCCTGTGATGACTGTCACTACTGGATTACCACATGTGTACTGTTCCTTATACAGGACCGGGTCGCTGAATGCAAAACTATGGTGTCAACGTTCTCCTTGCTCAGACCCACCACCATTTATAACTAAATGTTAGCAACAGATGGTGTTTTTTAAGCTGGTTAAAGCTACTGAAACTGCTAAAACATTTCACTTCAGTCAACAAAATAATTAAGTCAGTGACAATAAATGAGAGTCTGCCTTGATTTAACCCGGAACTAATATCCATGGATGTCACCCGGCAAATCTGAACCTGAGAAATTGCACATGGTCCTGGTGCAAGTGGTGTGAAATCGTGCTGCTGCAGCTCACACACACACACACACACACTGCCCCTCCTTTCCTGCCTGGTCCTCTTGCTTAAAAAGGAGAGAGACCTCTTGGCATGAAGAGAGAGAGCCGTGCCGAGCAGCATGCAGATGAAAGCAGGAGTCTCTTCTCCTGTGGACGATGGGCTCCTTCTGCTCCGCTCTTAACAGTCGGATGGCGGTGGTAACGTTGATGCCACGTGACGAGTCACCGGTCCTCACTGTGACAGGTCAGTCGGTCACATTCTTCCTCTTTAACTCTTGAAAAAAAATATCTCTAAATGCCATAAATCCCTGCTTGTGATCATTAGCTCATCGTTGATAGAAATCCATATATGTATCTCAAAAGACGTTTTATATATATCATGCTCTCAAATCATCGCAAAATGAATTTAAATGATTTTACTATGAAAGTTGTTAAATGCTTTTTAATACTACACTATTAAAGCATATTCCGGTTATCCAATGTAAAAAATGTCTGGAAGGGACCTTTAAGATGCAGTTAACAAGATTAGAATGAGCAAATAAAATAGTGCGTTTTATAGTTTACAGCCTGATTGAGGCCCAAAAATAAATCTCTCAGGCTGAACACTTTGTTTTAATTGTTGCCTCAACAGCCTTTTGACAAACAAAGACCTGAATACATTACTGAAATAGACGGTCACACAGACTCACTCTTCTCACATGGTCCACTTTGATTGTCTCTTCAGCGTCGCTGCTGATTATGAAGAACCAATAGTCAATTAGCCAGCTGACCATCAGGGAGTCCACTGTTTGTTTACACCCTCCTCCGTTAAACAACATGGGCACACACACGGAATGTAACACACTTTAACATACAGTCAATTAGTGTTTCAACCAGGATCACTAACACCGTCCTATAAGACACCCTTAACCCACAAAAATGAATGCGCTGCGATGCTTAGACGTCAAAGCGCCGTACACCTCCGTTTTGAAGATGTCCGCTGTTCCACTTTCAAAACGCAGCCTTCTTTCCTCTCCCTCCATCAGGGGACTCTCTGCAGCCGATCAAGACCCTGAGTCTGATGCCGCATCCCATCGGGACCGGGTGCAGCATCAGGAGGTGTGCGCTCGGACCCAACAGAAACTGTGCTGCGAGAAACCCCAAGAAATGGTATGAAAGGCTTTAAAATCAGAAAACCTACATGTTATCCTACTCTTCTTGTGATAACCGCTCGGTGTTGGTGTGGAGTCATCGGGGTTATTTGGGGTCATGCTTGGAAACGATTAAAACGTGCGAGAAAGCCTGCGTGACGAACCGGAGGCATGGAGTCGAAACAACAAATCCCTCACAACTGCCCCCAACCCTGTGTTTCGACGCGCAGTACCGTTTCTATGCACTGCCCCAGAGGATGAACCCTCAAACCCCGACCACGCGAGCCTTCCGAATGGCACCAGCCAAGCAGTAATGACCGCGGCCGCCTGTAGGGGGCGCCAGCGGAACCGCAGACCGATTGCCTGGTGATGCCACTTGACTGGAGGTTTTGTGACTCTCTTTTCGGGACCATTGCATCATCGTTGTCTAAATACCACCCACCCACCTACACACACGCACACACACACACACAGGTCGGCTCACTCTCTCTCAGCAGCGTGCACACGCACGCGTTCTCCCTCTCAGACGTGCGCGGGGTAAAGTTGCGCGCTCCTGCATGCGGGAAGGGGGTGAGGGAGGAAGCGGAGGCAGGTCCGTCAGCTGCAGGATTCCATCACTCTTAGCAACCGTTGTTGCGGTTGCCACGGGAACGCTCTGCTTCTCCTTTGTCCCCCTCCGTCTCTCTCTCTCTCTCTCTCTCTCTCCCCCCCCCCCCCCTCTCTCTCTCTCTCTCTCTCTCTCTCTCCCCCTCTCTCTCCATCCTGCATTTAATGCTGGTCCACCTCCTCCTTGCGTTCCTACGGCGATGCTCTGGGACAGCCGAGCCGGATCATTTTGCCGTCGCAGTGCCGGAGCGCGGAGCAGTGAAGCTGTGACGCTGTGACGGATCCGCCGATCACATTTTTGTTGTTGTTGTTGTTGTTGTTGTTTTTTTGTTGTTTGGAATTTTCATTGACTTAAAACATGACGTCAGCTCGTGCCTGCTCTTCAACTTCACACGTCGTCTCGTGACCGCGGACTTTTCAGAGATCACAGAGCATCATTTCGGATCTTCGAAGGAAGTTGGATGAAGTTCCACCGAACCCAAACTCGTCCGTCGGCTGTGATTTGTGCGGGTGTTTCCACTGCTCCGTCAGTCTGACAGACGTCCGGACGCTTCACGGACACCAAAGTCATCGTGAACACCTGTACTGATTGAAACCCCCACCTCCCCTCTCCTCCTCCACCACGCCGAGATGAACGAGGGGGTGCCGGAGGCTGAGGAGCAGGAGGCGGAAGTGCAGCAACGTGAGGAAGGGCAGGGAGAGCAGATGCCCCAACAGGACCAAGAAGAAGAGGAGGAGGTAAAGTCTGAAGAGGTGCGGCAGAAAGAGGAGGAGCAAAATGAGGAAGAGGTGCAGCAGGAGGAGGTGTGCGCTGAGCAGCCACAGCAGACTGTGCAGATGCAACAGGAGGAGGAGGGGGTGCAGCACAGCGAGTTGATACAGCAGGAGGAGGTGCAGCCGGAGGAGGTGTGCGCTGAGCAGCCACAGCAGACGGTGCAGATGCAACAGGAGGAGGAGGGGGTGCAGCACAGCGAGTTGATACAGCAGGAGGAGGTGCAGCAGGGTGGGCCAGTACAGCAGGAGGAGGTGCAGCAGAGTGAGGTGCTACAGCAAGAGGAGGTGCAGCAGGGTGGGCCAGTACAGCAGGAGGAGGTGCAGCAGAGTGAGGTGCTACAGCAAGAGGAGGTGCAGCAGAGTGGGTTTATACTGCAAGAGGAGGTGCAGCCGACTGAACAGGAGCAGATGGAGGAGGAGCAACAGATTGAGGAGCTGCAGCAGACGGAGGAGGAGGAGGAGGAGCAGCAGCAGCAGACAGAGGAGCAGCAGCATCAGCCTGAGCAGGAGCAGCAGTTTGAGGAAGAGCCGCAGCGGATTGAAGAGGTGCAGGTCGAGGAGGTGCAGGACTTTGACTACGCGGAGCAGAACCACAACGACCAGGTCCTGATCCGACTGAGAGAGATGTGAGTAGACGTCAGCTGACCGGCGAGGTCATGTCGATGGTGATGTGATAACTGGTGTTCGGTCTGTGTAGGAATCAGACTGACAGCCACGGGGACGGCTTCAGTGAGGCTGCCGGGTTGCCGTGGTGATGTTGGCACGGTCCGAGGACGGAGGGAAGACGAATGACAGCAAACGAGTGTGAAACTGTGGGTGTGCGACATCACTGAACCTAATACACAGAGAGAGAGTGAGAGAGTGAGAGAGAGAGAGAGAGATTTTGATGAGGTCACATCTTCTCGTCCTCCAGTCCGTGCGTCAGGTATTTGCTCTGTGCTGGACGCTAAGAGGCCGTCCTCGCGGCGGGGACGGCGTCCCCACATCGGTCTGAATCCGGGGCCACGGCGGCAGATGCAAAACAGCTTGCCGTTCTCTGGTGGCTGCGGTTGCCATGGTAACGGCTGAGCGTTGCGATGCAGCAAAACTCTCTGCAAAGATTAGGAGAAAGAGGGAGAGAGAGAGAGAGAGAGAGACAGAGAGAGAGACAGAGAGAGAGAGAGAGAGCGAGGGAAAACAAAGACAAACTGGGCAGTTTTGCTCAAATTTCTTGTTGATGTTTAAGGTGTTTTTTTTTAACATTCCAACCACAATCCCATACGTCACTAACCGACACACAACATGAATGTCTTAAATGGGTCCCGATCGGAACATCAAAGTGTATTTCCAGCTGTTTGGAACACAAAATAAGGCATTCAATCTATTTATTTCAAAAGGCAGCTGCAGGAGGCATGTCGTGGCAGAGACGATTGTCGGTAATCAGTTGTTGAAGTAGAGCAGCGCATTGAGGGTGTTGAGTTTCACATTGTGTTTCATCTCAGTCGCCTGCAGCAGCAAACTTGAATAAGATGCATAAAGCCTTTAGTGGCTTTTTGAGTGAAAGGAGGAACATGACAGCCCCACACAGAGAGTCCTGACCCCGATTATAACCCGGCTCCTTTGGGAGGGACCGGGCCAGTCACCCGACCCTGCAGCGGGTTGAACATCTGGACTGGAACCAGCAGAGTGGAGGCTGTTAGAGCAGCACGCCATGAACCATGGTTTTATCGTTTTTTTTGGAATGAGAGTGTGTCCATTGGATCTTCCTGCGCTGTACCTTCATATTTGAGATCATGCATTTGACATTTAAGGGAGAACATCCATTTCACGTGTGCTTTACTTGTGACACGCACTCTTTTTTGGGGGGCTCTGGTACATTTTTGGAGAATGTGAAGCCCTCGGCCACACGAGAGCCCTCGTCCTCGTCCTCGTCAGCTGAACCGTGACTCATCGGCCCACAGACTGACACTCTTCAGAGCAGAAGCACCTGATGTGTCTACTCTGAATATCAGATGAATGAAAACATATTTTTAAACTTTATGATCTCGTACATTACTCTGGAAAAATATCAAATATTTTTCTGGCATTTACATTCTAATAAATTCCCATTATAAGGACCCCCCCCCCCCCCCCCACACACACACATACTCAATTCACGCTCTTTCTGCTCCTGTTTAACAGACTCTACTTAACAGCATCTTGTATTAGTAACTATTTGGGAGTTGAGGCCAGGAATAGCGTTTCATTTTGGCGTTCACATTGGCGAGCGAATGTGTCATCTGTCAGCTGTGTTTCGATCAGACAGAAATAAAATTGCAGAATTGAAATTCTACTCAGCTCATGTACTGAATCAGCATAACCTACAGTACTCTGGGTAGTGCTTCCAATCCTGGGTGGCTGGTTACAATTTCAAATGGGTTGAACATTAATCTAGAAGCAAATTCAGTTTAAAATCGTAAAAAAACAACATCAGCGTTCTTCATTTCTCGGATTAAGTCAAGAAGTTGCCACCTGCACCAGTTGGATCGATGGTGATATGAAAGCCATTTAACTATTGAACATCCCACATAAAAATAAATCAAAGTTATTATTGTCATTGTCTCATCTCATTGTCAGCTGCTCATCCGCGGTCGGGTCTCGCGGGGGCAACAGTTCCAGCAGGACACCCCAAGCTTCCCTTTCCCACATCTACCGGGTCTTTCCCCCGGGACCTCTTACCGGCTGGCCGGGCCTGGAAAACCTCCCTAGAGAGGCGTCCGTGTGGGCAACCTCACCAGATGCCCAAACCACCTCAACTGGCTCCTGTTTTTATCATCTCACACCTAAAAGTTGGCTCCTTTGTAAATGTTCCATTAGAAATAACGGCATGAGATAAATGTGGGCATGCATGTATGTAGCAGGACAGTTATCAAGTGAGCGGTTGACTGATGATTCGTCCTCCTCCGACAGCCCTGCTGCATGTGACCTCTGTGTGAGTGACGGACGCCATGAGGCTACTGGAGAACGGAGATTCAGGTTTTTCTTTTTACAGTTGGTGCCTCCTCGGTGAATCTGTGTTCAAAGGACTAAAGGAGCGTATCTGAATAAAACTCAGTCCACCGTCAGATACGTTCCCAGATTTAGATCGGGAACATGTGACGCACAGACGAGAAGAATCAGACTATAAGTAGTTGACACTTGACGAAGAAAGAAGAAGGAACTCGCTCCTTCGGCAGGCAGAGACGGCTGAAAGCCGCGGCTACAACTTTTCTGAGCTCAAACCCAGAGAGACGTTCAGAACGCTATTTTGAGTGCGCGCGCCACGTTGCAATACAACAAAGTGGCCTAATTGCAACAAAACAGCTCAGAGACGCATTAGAATGACAAACAGGCACTAAGTGCCCCCTTGTGTCTTTCTTCATTGAACGCCGACTGGTCGTATTAATTATCCTTCTGATAGACACACGGCCCCCGGATGCAGATCATAACACTGGGGTCTGTGTTTTTTGGAGGGAGAACAATTGAGAGTTCAGATTAGTTTCTTTAGTTTTTTTGTCCCCGCTCACCAGTTGCCGTGGTAACAGCTTCTTGAAGTTTATTATATTTATTTAGAGTTTAATACAGTTTTTCTTCTTTTAAACAGTCTACTATCTTGTATATTTTCAAGCGTTGTGATCTTTTAAAATTTATCTTTTAAATGTGCTTTGGTTAGAGATTGATGAAGAAATGAGACTGGGAATTGGATAAAAACAAACTTGAGAGTGAGAAAATGATGGCAGGGTAGTTCATCAGACTGTGTGGTGAGGCGGGAAATAGAACCGAAACCAGCTGATACAAGTCAGCGACTTCAATGACAATAAACAGAATAACTACATTTTTATTTACAGCTACCTGAAATTGCCTTTATTAAAATATGATGATTGAATGATTAAAAAAGATTGAGATAACACGGAGAGCCACAAACATCGGGGTGAAAACCAGTCCGTCCAATTCCCTGATTAACGGGCTCATCGCGTCTATTGTCATGCAAATACAGCAACTTTGAAGTCGGACTCTGAAACCATGTAATACAGGTTGTTTTCATGTATTTGTTTCTGCTCATTCGGGCATGTGTTGGCTTACTAACAGCCCTGCTGCATTTTAATGGCTGCTCTGCCTTTTCACCGGGCCAGGGCACTGGTCTTGATGTAGGCGGTGCAGACATTGCCACTAAAGCGTGAAACGCACCCTGCGGTGCTGAGAATAAAAAAGAATTCTGTACATGCTCAGTGCTATTAACGCTCACCGACGCGGGGAAGAAAGTGGGTGAGGTGACGCTAGAGAAAGGAAAAAGCAAAGCAAATTCAGCCTGCACGTGTTTGTGACACAGTGGTGAGTCATTCCTTCAGGAAACATCCCCGCTCTCACCTGTCACCGTCGGTGCCGCACAGCGCTTTTGTCTCGTTTTATTCAAACAAAAACACAGTGCGGCCCGCTCAGCCCCGGCGCCGCTCAGCCCGCCGTTTACCCGGCCCACGCAGGCCAGCGTGATCGCAACACTCAATAATCTCAGAGCCGAGACGGAGCCTCAGGGGCCGCGTCCCCGAGCAGGGATTGGCTTTTTTAAGACCAAATGGAGCTTATCAACTCCCGGTTTACATATTTACTCACCGGGGGGGCATTTTGCATTCGTCCAACTTAGTGGATTCACCAGTCAGCCGTGAGCGCGATGGATGCACCTCTGGTGCCTTGTGGACGTTGGCTTTGCTGTCTCATTGTTTGTCTCTCAGCCCCCAGCTCTACGTGTAAGAATAAGGATAATAGTTGCATGCAATTTATTACTTTGGATTAACATTCGCTTTGGATCTTATTTAAAGTCAATGTAGGCTATAGCAAAGTATCAGGCTTGCACATTTAAATGAAAATAAAAATGTAGGGCATTAACTTTGCTACACGTGATCCATTTACAGTCCAGTTTAAAATTGGCAGGTGACAACAACATCCTGAACGACAGCATCGTCCCCCCTAAAGCCCCCATTAACACTGTTAGCTGCCTTCGCACTGCTGTTGCTATCGATGCTGCTTGACTGCTAGCCTACTAGCCTGTTAGCCTACTAGCCTGCTAGCGTTTGTGTTCATCATATGACTGCTGACTGCAACCAATTGGGGTTTCGTGTCTGAGCACCTCGTCAGTTCTTATCAGTTTACGTGCATGATGAGGAAACATGTTTGTTAATTCGAGTCACTATTTTTTTTTTTTTTTGTTTACAGGCAGAAATATAAAAGTGCATCGCAGAGGTAAGAGGCACGCACACACACACACACACGCGCACACACACTCTCAAGAATGGAACTGAGGAGGCGGGTTAAGAGCTGTTATCACCAAAGAGACATTGGTTTCATTTAAACAAAAGTTGGAGGCCCAAAGGTCAGAGGTCAAATGATCACATTTTTTGACAAAAGAACACAAATAAAGCGAAAAACAGATGTGCGTCAGAACTTTGTTTCTTCTTCTTTCCTCTCACGGCAATCACCTGAGGAGCACTCACGTTTATCCAAGTGAATGCAGTCGACACACGAGCTCTTCAAAACTGCAATTCCTTCTACGTCCTCCAGAGGCCGCCTCCTAAACCCTTCAGTCCCCCGCATTCAAAATACCCAATTTTACCGCTGAAATAAATATGTTTCCAGCCTGATACGCAAAACAGGTTTCGTCATCTAGTTCATGACATCAGCACAAGGGGTTGATTCTAAGTTAGCTTAGCCGTGTGTCGATTGGCTCGCTGCTAGCTGGCGCCACACCTTTCGGCTCTTTGCTCATTTTCTACGGCCGGCGGATGGCTGGTGACCACCTTCTTCCGCTGTTGGTCCGTACTTTGTCATGTGCCCGGGTAGCATAGAAAAGCTTTTGTACCCGACCAAAGAGCAGAGAATGCTACTGCTGCTGATGATAATAATAGTCAGGTGAAGCTAAATGAAATCCTTGAACGTCTGCAGTCTTGAACTTTTATTTTTCCCTTGCTCCATCCCCTTGTCTGACTCCTGCTGTAACCATGGCAACTAAAACAGATTTCATCCAGTATACAGGAAGGTGTTTTAGTAACCATGACGACGGCACGATGCCTGGCTGCAGCAGAGTCTTTATGTCTCCCCGTCGTCAGCTTCCTCTGTTGTGAACATTTGAACCATCATGAGCAGCAAAATCCCATTAACGACCCAAAAATATCCCTCCGTCCATCATCCAACCTACAAGTCTGTGTACCAGCACTGTAAAGTAGGTAATTTATGAAAATACAAGCCCTCCTTGGATTGAAGAATGCTGCCTCATACACCCTCAGTATCGGCAAGCAATAGAAGATAATATGTACATTTAATGCATATAAGTGAGGATCTTATTATATTGCCTCTAACCTCCAAATCTCTCATGCCGACAAAAGTACGGGTCTCAAACTGTAACGAACTTCTGTACCGGCTGACAAAGACGCCGCGAGCATTAAGTAAGTCTTCCGTTACAGCAACATGTTTATTTCCGCGGGGAGACTCCCGTCGCTCCCTGTGGGAGTCAGCTGATTGACAGGAGGCTCGGCTGTCAGGCGCCCATCTGGAGGAAACAGATTTGGGTGTTCTGGTTCTGTGGTGTGAACAGGACAGCAGCTGTGAGGGAATGAAGATCGCTGCTTCCTTCTGTCAGCTAGCAGGTGTGTGAAGTCTACAGAAAGGACTCCTGCAGATGGATGTGACTCCCGTTGAGGTGTTTGTAACGTCGCGGGTGAACGGCATCACAGATGAGCAGAAAAGCACAGCGCAGCTGCTCGTCGACCTTTTAAAGTGCGTCCACTCAGATTTCTGCTTTAGAAGGTCAGACGGGGAGTAGTAGGCTTTTGAGATTCCGCAAATATGGTATAATTATTCCTATTTTGTGTGTGTTAGCGTACCTGTGCTCTCTCTGAAAACAGCAGCTCAAACAGTGTCTCTAAATCCGGCGACCTTAAATTTAAGTGGGCAGGTATTTATACTTTTGGGTGGGCGCGTTCCGCTCAGTGTGACTAAGATGAGCCGCAGACAACAACTGGAACTATATTATGTCCTGCTGGTCCATTTTGGGCAGAGGTGTCTTCAGCCTGACGAGATTTACAGCAGCACACACTGAACAGCTCTCATATGAATAACGAGGGACCGGGAACGTTTCCAGCTACAGTACCTCTCCAAATAACCTTCCACAGCTTAGGGAGTCGTGACGCCATATTTGGGCCTCAGCCTCGGTTCCATTTGTTTCTGTAACCCGCTCATATCTCCCAGTCTGCCCTCCGGCTACAGATCTCCGAAAAATAAATCCACACCTAACGACGGAGACATGTTTGTGTCTCTGTAACTGATGAGCGATTATGCACTTGGGATGATTTGTGCTGTTTACACGAGCATGTGAGTGCGCTTTGTGCGACCTGTGTGTGTGTGTTTGCGTCGTCAGGCTGAAGGGGGTCCTGGAGCAGATGGACCGGGGCGTCGTGGACCTGCAGGAACTCCGCAGGAACCTGGAGCTCGCCGCTGCCATGTTGGACACTGTTTACACCGACGAGACCAAGTAGGACCGATGCGCTGACAAAATAACAAGTGGACGTGTATCCAAAATAAACCCACCGTCCCTGGCTGTCCCAGCTGCGGCTGACGGGTGTGCCCTTCTGTCCCGCAGGCGTCTTTTGGACACCGAGGACGAGCTCAGCGACTTGCAGGCAGAGTCGGTGCCCAGCGAAGTGCGGGATTGGCTGGCGTGCACCTTCACCAGGAAGATGGGCGTGGCCAAGCGTCGCCCCGAGGAGAAGCCGAGATTCAGGACCATCGTCCATGCAGTGCAAGCTGGGATATTTGTAGAAAGGTATAAAAATAAATCGATACATACCTGGTTTGGGGCCCCTTAATTTCACGGGAGGGATATTCGGGGAATTTTTGGGAAAACGGTGTGCTTCAGGCTTTGAGTTTGTGTTTGCCCCTTGTGCACCAAGCCGGGTGTTCTATCATTTTCCGCTACTTGTCGAGAACGGCTACTTCGTGGTATTGCGCATGCGCCGAGTCGATTTTCCAAGAGTCCTTGACACGCCCATAATATTTCTACTACTACTACATCTACTGTGTCGTATTATCTGTAGTCCGTTTTCCATTTGCGGAGACGCGGTGAGAAACGTCCACCAAAACCCTCCTTTCCTCGCGCTTTTGGCTTATTTATATAACAGCATATAGCTTAGATTGCACACTGGTTTAGCTCTTGAAGTTAAATTCGCAATAATTGCATGTAGCTTACTGTATCGCAGGGACATGCACATGATTCTAGAGGGGCTCACAGCGCGGAAACGTACTGCCCAATCTTTTTTCAGGCAGTAATAATAATAACATTAATTAATGAGTCATAAGCAGTTGCTATTTCTTTTGTGTCAACACATTACACATACATTATGCCTTCATTTGATGTACAGAGGTAGAAAACCATAAAGTAGATAGGGTAGCATGAATCGATGGATAGAGCCATCGATTTATGCGGCGGTAGCAATTCTCGCCAAAGCAGCAAAAATCGACAGAACACCGGCTCCATCAGGAAAATGGGTGAAGACGTGGAGCTTGAGGTGAAAGAGGTGGACTCATCCTCTGACATCGGTGCCGAACCGCACTCTCCCACACCGGGTGTAGAGATGGAATCACATGTTCAACAATCACATGAGGCCGTGTAACCAGGTGTATTCATAACAGAGGGAAAAACTGCGACTCCTCAAAGTCCAGTCAGATGATCGTCTCGAACTAAACAGCGAGAGTTAGAAATGTCTCTCGGGTTATTTTGGTCTTGAGCAGAAAGATCTGAAGCACCTGGAGACAAAACAGAAAACCATCAACTTAAAATAAACATCAGAACGCATCCGGCCACGACCTCACCCCGGATGTGATTACGAGGTTGAACACGAAGTGTAATGACGTTAGCGCGCCAGCGAGCTGCAGATGAAGATCACGCACGGAGGCCACGAGGTCCGAGGTCATTACAAGTGTAAATGATTCGCAGTGATGGAACGCTGTCAGCTCTTCTGCGGCAGCTTAACGGCGCATGAAATCAAAAAAGATCGGCGGCACCGAGGCGGCGCTCACTCTGTGTTTGGAACTTCAGGTTGCCATGACGACGCGCAATCCATCCGGCCCACAAACTGTGGAGGAGGGCGACTGGAGGTCTGCGTGAGGAGTGTTTACGTGAATGTAACTGTCGTTTAGAAGTGTGATCATTTTTGCACATTTTTTCATCAGCTTGTGTGTGTGTGTGTGTGTGTGTGTTTTGTGACATTAGGATGTACAGACGGACGTCCAACATGGCTGGTCTGACCTACCCTCCCACGGCTCTGACAGCTCTGAAGGTATAAACTGTTTAAATCTCTGCACACCCGTCATTCATTTCATTACTCAGCTTCTAATTCGTGAGACAGTTCTGTCCTCTCCAGAAAGTTTAAAGGAAAGAACGAAGCAGACACAAGAAATTAAAAATAGAACAGAAGAAAGATGTCAAAATTGAGGACATTGTTGAGGAGGCAGTAAAGGAAAATAGGGAATTAAAAGGAGAAAGGAAAAGGAAAGAAAGACCTGCAAAGAGGAGAGAATGGAAGGAAGATTGTTCAGTGTCCTTTGTCACCTATACAATATTTCCACATTCTGAAGAAAGAAGAACACGTGTACAATTAGAAAATGCAACAGCAAACTACTGCGTGCAAATATGCAATGCAGTGCAGATGTGGAGGGCTGCATGGGAGCGGTGAAGGTAACTGGCACAGCACGAGAGGGGAAGTCTGTCCTCGGCCGGAGGGAGGTGGTTCCTCCTTAATCCCTCCGTTCTGCCCCTTTGACTGCGATAATGCCTCCCTGACCAAAGCAGTTCAAAAAGGCCATTGTTCGGATGCCTCAAATCCTTAATGCTTCTATTATTACCTCAGAAAGAGGTCAGGAAGAAAACAGAAGGAAAGACATAGAAAGGTAGAGAGAAGAACGGAATTTAAGGAGAAAGAAGGAAGAATAGAAGAGTGAAGTCAAGTGGAATTATGAAGAAAGGACAAAAGCAGATGTAAGGAGGTGGTGGGGAGAGGAGGACAGGAAGATATGAAGACAAAAAGGAGGAGAGGAGGAAAGGAGGAGGAACTGAAGGGAAAAGGCAGAGCGGGGGAGGTGGGGCAAGCAGGAATGGAAGTGAAAAAGAGTTTTCAGTGTACATGATGATATATGTCTCCGTCGCAGCGCTTCCTGTACAAACTGAGAAAGAATTAGATTAAACAATAAATACTCTCCAGCCAAATCGAATTCATGTTTCTCACATGATGTAAAACACTAACGGAAAGAATATAAATACAACGACACACCATGAATCATGGACCGCATAAAATGTAATTATGACCAAATGAATAATTATCCTTCCAACGTCAGAAAACCTTGTAAGCACACTGCCCTCTACTGGCAGCCGTCCTTCATCACAGCGAATTACACGGCGACGACCAGACAGCCTGTTGCATCTGCATCGCAATTTCCCACATTACATGTCGTTAAATCTCCACCTGAATCTCACTTGATGTTGTTTTTTCTTGCAGGAAATGGATCACTGGTCGTTTGATGTGTTTTCCTTCCACGAGGGCACCGGGGACCACGCCCTCAAGTTCCTGGTCTACGACCTTCTGACCCGCTATGACCTCATCAACAGGTTCAGGGTACACACAGCTTTATGAAGTTAACACCTGGGGATGATTTAAATTGCCTTTAATACAAACTTTTTAACTAGACAACCACCCAATAGATGAGATCTTCTAATTGAGATGTTTTAGTGTGATAATAAATCCACCAGCTCAGTTGAACTACGGGGTATCTTTGGTCCTTGATGACTGGGTACCCACACAGTACTCGTAGTACCTGCACTCCGTGTACAAACCTCTGTTACTGTGTCCAGATCCCGCTGCAGGCTCTGGTGCAGTTTGTTGAGGCTCTGGAGAGCGGCTACAGCAAACACAAGAACCCCTACCACAACCTGATCCACGCCGCCGATGTCACTCAGACCGCCCACTTCCTGATGCTGCACACCGGGCTGATGGTAACACACACGCCAGCACACGCACACACACACACACCGAGATCGACGTCACTTTGACACTCAACAGTGTCTCATCCCAGGCATATAACTGTGGTGTGTGTGTGTGTGTGTGTGTGCGCAGCACTGGCTCAGCGAGCTTGAGATCCTCGCGATGGTTTTTGCGGCTGCGATTCACGACTTTGAACACACGGGAACCACCAACAACTTCCACATCCACGCCAGGTAACGTGGACAGTAACACTCGAATCAAATACCTCTACTGCGTTTATCGTTTCCAGTTTTTTATTGAGCACCATTAGCAGACACGCGAGAACCGGGAGAACCACAGAGAACAGAAACACGTAGCTGGCGAGGCCTGCTAAAAGGCTTCTGATCGGATGTCGCGTCTGTCCGTCAGGTCCGAGGTGGCCATCCTGTACAACGACAGGTCGGTGCTGGAGAACCATCACGTCAGCGCCGCCTACCGGCTGATGGCAGAGGAGGACATGAACATCCTGGTCAACCTGAACAAGGACGACTGGAGGTACGCGCACAGACTACACGTCGCCGGCGAGCTAACGGTCGCCGTGGCGACCGGTCGCTGATGGTGTGTACTGATCCTCGGCAGGGAGCTGAGGGCTCTGGTGATAGAGATGGTGATGTCCACAGACATGTCCTGTCACTTCCAGCAGATCAAGACCATGAGGAACACCCTGACGCAGACACACGGGTCAGTGGTGTGACCTTTGACCTCTAATCTCCAGCCAACGTACGCGTGTGTTTTGTGTCACAACCCAGCTGTTTATAATCGACCGCTTATTAAAAGCTTCTAGAAAATGTGTATTACAAAGTGAGTTTGTCAGCTAAATGACATCTTTGGTATTATAACATGTTTCATGTTACATCCTCCTTTTCACCTCTTATAGTTCACATTCAAGCCTTTTATTACACAAAAAACGTAAAACTTCAAACAAACATACAATCACGCGCAGTCCTCATTCAAAAACAAAATGATCAAAAAAAATTGACTTTTTTTTCTTAAAATTTTACAAAATTTATTTTTGTATAATGAGATATATTATAATTTAAAATATATAGTCACTAATAAAAAATGACAGCATTCAAATAAAAAAAAAAAAACGCTCTGTAGTTTCTTAAGTCAGTCGAGCTTTAAATGTTTTTCTGACCTCCTGTTGTGACTGGATTTTATCATTCGGGCACGAGTCTCTTTTAGGGAAGATAATATAATATCAAAATGCAACAGGAAATGCGTCAGAAGAGTTGCCCCTCTTGGTCCATCTGATGAGGACCACCAGTGGGAGTTTGTTGGGACACAGACACCTACGGCCCTGCAGGCTGCTGAGTCTCCGTCGGAGTCCAGCTTCCCTCCGTCAGATTGACTTTCTTTTTCCTTTTGTCCCGTCTCTCCAGTCTGGACAAAGTGAAGGTTTTGTCTCTGATGCTTCACGCCGCAGACATCAGTCACCCGGCCAAAGCCTGGCCGCTGCACTACCGCTGGACTCACAGTCTGATGGAGGAGTTCTTCAGACAGGTGACACACACACACATCCGTAGATTACAAGATCATTCTTTGGATGATAATAAAAAATCGGTTTGATCGTTTATTATTCATAATCATTTTGAGGTTCTTCTTAAGTGGATGTAATAACTAATGTTGCCTCGGTGACTGCGTCTCTTCCAGGGAGACAAAGAGGTGCAACTCGGCCTTCCTTTCTCTCCTCTCTGTGACCGCAAAGCCACGATGATCGCCCAATCACAGATAGGTAAGATCTACCGGCAATAGCCACGGGCCGCAGCAGGTGAAGAGTGCCGTTAACTAGTAACAGATACTGAACCACTGAGCCAAGACAGGAGGCTCGTAGCGTATATTTATTTTAGTTCAACAGGGACACCTGCTGGTGAATGTCCTTCTCCGCTCTGTCAGGGATCGGGTTGCTTATCAGTAATGTTTATCATTCAAAGTGTCTTTCTACTCCATCCTTTGGCCTTTCGACCTCCGTTGACCTCTTTCGTCTTCTCTCCATCATGTCTCTCTTCTCTCTGGTTGCAGGTTTCATAGACTTCATCGTGGAGCCGACTTTCAGCGTCCTGATCGACACAACGGAGAAAGTGATCGGTCCTCTGATAGAAGAGGACCGGAAGGCCAAAGAGACTGGAAACAGGAAGTCCAGGTACCAACACAACTGCTACTGTTCCACATTGATGCAAAAAGCTTCCAGCCACACGTGTAACGAACATCTTGAGGGTGGGTTTTTATAAAAGGCACAACTATTTTCTCCCCAAATGTCGATAGTACATTTCAACCAAACTGTAAAATCCTTAAATCTCTCTCTGAGGCTGCAACTACATATAAAGACATGTTCGACAGTCTCATGCGATTGTGACTTCATCCCTTGTGCGTGTGAATTGGTTCTGATCCCCCATAAGCCCCGTGGTCCGTGACTCCGCTTTGTACCAGTCTAACAGGAAGTGGTTCGGTGACCGTCGAGTCGGTGCAGAGACACAGTAGCGGTCGCTATGGGAACAGCAATGACGGACAGATGGACTTTTCCCTGACAGCCATCGACCTGCCGGCTCTGAAGAGCCACCTCACCGGTGTCATCGGCAGTAACAAGGACAGGTGGAAAGAGCTGTCTGTGCACGGTACGCACGCACGCGTACTTACTGGCATTAAATCAACCGTCGGGTCTTCATGAGTATTTCAGCACGCTTACGATATTTAGCATTTAGCTCAGAGTATGACCTCCCAGCACGTGTTAGGGACACTTTCTCCCTGTGTGACTCTTTATCGTGTTCCCTTGTTGTGAACAGAGCTGGCCAACAGGGAGCAGGAGAAGCGAGAGGAACAAGAAGAAGTGGAGTCTAATGTCAACTCGGACGTGCCCAGTCACAGCGTCCCGCTGGCACACGCCTCTGACCAATCACAGAGCTCAGAGGGGCCCCCTCCTGACGAACCTCAGGACGACAAGTCGCCCGTTCACCTGTCCTGGAACGGTACGTGCGTGACATCGCTCCCTGAACATTTCCTGAACCGTAACCTGTCAACGCACTGACATGTTGCTGTGGTAACCGTTGCAGGGGCGGGGCCAGGAGAGGAAAAGGCGGCGGACCAAGATGAAGTGCCTGAAAACGCCTGATGGCGCTCCGCGGCGAACTCACCGCTGTAGCTGACTGTGGCAGATGTGCAGTGAGGACAGGGGTTCGGACTTTGTGTTTAGACGCAGCAGCTGGCTCAGTGGCCCCCCCTCGGTGGACCCTCAAAGGGCCACCAGACCTTATGTTTACAACCGACAATGAACATGCTACATTCAAAGTGACGGCCGTTCATCACGTAACAGATTCTTAGCAGCGTCATCGCCCATTCGCTGTGTTATGTGAAATTATTAGGGGCTCCGAGGAGCTTTGAATTGGAAGAGATGACTTCGGCAGGCTAAACATCTGTTACCTGGAGGAACGACGCATGCAGCTGTTAGGACGCTGTTGTGAAGGTTTTTTACTTTACCTACTTTTTACACTGAATTCAAGTGCAAAGTGCAAGATTTCTGCTCAGTTGTCTGTTCTGGGTTCAAAAAATCCACCGCGCCGTGCTTCTGGCCACGCCCCGATATGTGATGTCATAGCCGAGTGGTCGTCAGCCACAGTAGCTGTCCAGACTGAGATATGTCTCAATGACCGGCTTGTAACACTCATAGATCCCAGAAGTCTTATTCCTCCTTTAGAGCCACGAGAGCTTGTTCGTTTTGCTGTTCTGAGGGAAATTTCTTAAGAACCGTGTTACATTTAGTCTAATAATGACGTTCCCATCAGTTTTAGCCGTACTTTGAAGAAAAAGTACAGCTGAGTAGCAGTCGGCTTAAGGTATTTTTGGGGCCCACGGCGGCACGTGGCCCTTCCAAGCCCCCCCGGGGGCTCGACTGCTTAAGTTCATTGTTGCATCCTGAATTATGACTCTTTTCTGACACAGTGAATTTGAAAGAAAATCAAAAGGACTCTTTTCTCTTACTATAGAACACGCCCAGCTAACCCACCCATCATATCACCATACTTGACATCTCATTTCATTACTGATGAAATTAAAACGATGTGACAGAAGTTCATTCTTCTCACATGTATCCTCCTACAACAACGTGATGGACGGACATAACATTGGAAGTATTTAAATCCCTCATCTGAATATTCCTTTCCCGTGTATTTCATGTTATAACTGCCACTTTACTGTGACTTTAAAAGACGTATTTGTTATCCAGTAATTATAATGTCAAGCAGACCTGTACCTCCTGTGACATCACTGATTGGGGGCGTGGCCAGGTGGTTGAACCCACAGCGGCAGTCAGACAGATCACCTGGGACCGATTTTAAAGGAAGTTCTTTTTTAAACCATGGGTTGTCTTGTACTTCAGGTTAATATGCCCATAGGCTATCGTAACAGTGTACTCTCCACCGTCTTTGTAGAAACCGCAGTGGACACAAGCACATAAGTGAAAGCAGATTCAAATTGTCAGAAAAAAAAACACAGAATGTTCCTTTGAATGGAAGGAAGGTCAGAGACCAGACAGCTTCTGTTGCTTCTGTACTCTGTATTAAAACCACGTAACCGCCACTTCTCCCGGCTGTGAATAAAGGACAGTGCTGTCCATGACATCCCCCCCCACCCCCCCGGGACAATAAAACACCGGTTTCTATAGCAACGGCCCACGAACCGAAGGGTGGGGCCAACATGGCCGACAGTGGAAACTCTTTAGGTCCTCTGAGCACTGTGTTCGTTAATGCAATGTGTGCTATAGTCGTTGTGTACTCCGCCTCTGCGCGTGTGTGTGAGAGTGTGTGTGTGAGAGTGAATGTGTGCTGTGTATACTGTACAGCTGTTTTCTGTATTATTGTATTAAACATTCAGAGCTCCAGTCTCCTCCAGTGGTCAATTTCTCACAAACGCCTGGAAGGATAAAGTAAGGATGCATCATATTCTAAACTGCAACAACCACAAAGCATTACTGAACATCTTGAAATCTTACTTTTGTTTCCTGTTCTCCACAACTGGTCCTGACTTTAAAGCAGTTTTCATAAAACTGACCACTGTCTATCAAGCACCCATCAGATAATGTTTAACTGTATTAACATTGCACACTAAGTGACAGTTTAGCAACCTGGTACCAAAACGTACACCAGTTTCTCTGTCAAAGATGGTCTGAAAGAACGCCACAGGTGATGCAATGCATTTCAGACGACATTAGAGGGCAGTGGGAATAAACCAGTGTTTCGAGTGGTGGAATACTGTCACGGCTGCACTGCAAAGACACGCCACCAGAGGACAACAGATATCCGCTCCCTGCTGCCAACACACACGACAGATTCCTTTCTCAAGTCTAGCTTTTCTGTTCTGTCTTTCTTTATAAAAGCCATTTTCCGTCCTTCCATAAACATACTGTAAACCTAAACTTGCAAATCACATTGAGGAATGTGAACATACCTTTAGAGAGTTACAAAAAAGTAAAAACTGTATTTATCTGCTTTTACTTTATGTATTAAGTGGCTCCTCGGCTGCAGCTGTTTATCTGCTGATTAGTGAAACACTCCAGTGGGAGTCCATCAGCTCCTGATTAACAGCAGCAGAAACACAAAAAACACTCAACCCTCTCCCTTCTTTTCAGTCTCAACCTGTGAGCCGGCTGTTACTAAAAAGGGTTACAGTTCAGTATTAGCTAGATGTACCAACACGGTAATCAAGGAGCAGTATTAGTAGTGAGAAACCTAGACCATGCCGAGGTGATGACATCACAATAATTACATCCCCATACGATGTGATGTCACCAGCTTGAACGTGGAGACTACAAATCTTAAACCTTTAATACTGCTAATAAACATACATTTTCACATTAAGAGAAAGTGAGAATTATCAGCTGTCTGCACTTCAGCTCGCTGTTTGGTTTAACGGTCAGTAGCTTTAATGTTTTCTACCCTCACTGCTCTCATTAGCAGCATTTTCAGACCCAGCAGTCAGCTGTTTTTAATAAAAAAAGCTATAAAATCTGCACTCAGCAGCCGACGAACACGTTGAGAGACGTGTACATATAAGAGCCTTTTACAGCCACACATTCACATAAACATCAACAAACACATGGATGTGGATTTCTTAGTTTTTTTCGTGACATTTTTTGACACAACAAATTTTGATTTTCTTTTTAAAAACATTTTTCCAGATATTTTTTTACCTAATATTTTTCTACTTTTTTTTCCAAAACATATTTTTACTTTGAACACATTTTTCAACCCAACGTTTTGTGCCTTGACTCATAATTATGACATTATCTTTGATTGACAGTGTTTGACAGCCGAGACAGCCTTTGTCAGCAGCTGGACGGGGCGTTGCTTTCGCCAACATCATCTGACATATTGATTGATCTCACTGATCTCTCTGAGGAAGAATTGCAACAGCAAAAATATATTAAACAGCTCGAAAGAAAAACAGAATATACACTCAGTTGTCAGTTTCTAACTCTTTCTATAACTAAGTGATTTTCTTTCATAAATCAAATTGACTCTAAAGAATAAAGCGTATATAAGTGGAAGGCGATGGTCTATAGACCAGAAACCCCTGTTGGACTTCAAATGACTCTTCCTTTGCCACCAATATGGGGAATAGACAAAGGTCACGGAGAGTGCCTGACTTATAAGGTTTCCATCAAAGACAAATGCTCAAGAGTCCCACTCAACCAGCAGGCTGCATATCGACTGAGGAAACGCCTGAACGGTCATCTTTAGAACAAAAAACAGGCGTTTGATGCAGCCCGTTCAGCTCCAGTGAGCAAACGTCGCCTCCCTCTCCATTCAATGGTTACGCAGAGGAGCAAAGTCAGAAACGGGCCTTTTGTCAGCCCCGGGAATCCCTTTATTTAAAGGAAAGCCGTGACGCAGCCGGAGCACGAAGGCAGCGAGCGTGAACTTAGAAAGATAGTGAAAGATAGCTGCAGCACTGTTTGGTTTTCCCCTCATGGAACGTCAGTAACAATGCATTTTTTATCGCTCAGATAACATTTGCTTTAATGCTTTGATTCCTTATATCTTTGAGGAAACTTTCCTTCTGGCCTTCTCAGTGAAACGTCTCTGCAGCTATTAGTTGGATGCAATGAAATTAGTGCAGGCATCCATATTCCCCAACGTGAAATGAGGGAGCCGTCTGATCTGGCGCTGCGGGAAACCACAAACACCTGCCGGCGCCAACACGTTAAGGAAAGGAGCTTTAATGAAAAAGGTCGCCGGCCTTCACCAAACCATCAAAGGGCCGGCAGGCCGCCCGGCGCTCTGCTGTGCTTCCGTTCAGATGCCAGTGAAGCGCCCGTCTCACTGTTGACACTCGCTGTGTCGGGCCCTTTGTTTGGGTCGATGGCGCGCCAAACCGAGAGGGAGGACGGGATCTCGGCCACACTGGGAGATCGCGATAATTGGATTGTGAGTACGGTCACTTAGTTTGAGAGCGTTGATTAACTGTGCTTGTTCCATAACCCGAACCCCAGCGCTGTTGGGGATGAAGAAGAGGTGCCGCTGCATAGAAACGATCCTTGTGACCATTGCAGAGGAACAACTGTCTTTTGTTCAAATCTCAGGGAAAATCTGTCCTCCATCTGTGGCAGGAAGGATGCGTTAGCACGTTGAGCTGGACCCAGGAATTTACTTTTTAACTTCTGTGCAGATAAAATATATACTCATTTGTTGTCAGCTTTAGCGGTGCTGAATTTTAACCGACCAAGACCAGACAACTGTAAAATATTGGAGGTTTCAATCTTCTCATTTCATGTAACTGATCAAACTATTCTTTCATGTGTATTTACAGCAGCTCCCTCGGCCTACGTAGCTGCAGAGCTTGACAAATGCATGTGAGCTGTATTGTGCGTGCGTGCTAATGATTGCATGTGTTTGGAGGAGGGAACAGAAGGACTCGTCTCTTTCGGCAGAGACAACACCTGAACTCCCTCTGAGACTCCCTGGCTTCCTTCAGCTTCACCTGTGAGCTGAATTTGAATGCCTGAGCTCCCAGACGAGGGTGGCGCTCACCTCGCCTCACGGGCAGAGAATGAAGCGCCGCTCGGGGACCAGCGGCCTGTAATGAGGATGTGACGCACGAGCAAACGCGTGGATTCACTTCATTTCAAAGCAGATCAGGATTTTAGCTTTTCTGATGGGGGGACGTCTTCCTGACGGAGGTCTCTGTGCATATTAAAATGCTTCTAACTCCGCCGTTTTACACTTCAAGAATACACTTGATTTGCTCACCAATCGTCCATCAAACGTGTATTATCTCCCTGTTGCGTGCTGGAGTCCCACATGAGATGCAGAGAAGCGGAGCCATAAGCAAAACTGATTGAATTTGTAATTTAGTTGCCATCGCTTGTAGATTCGATAAGCCTGTGCAGTTAAGTTAGATTGCATGAATGTAATGAGCTCATCTCCCCAGAGCGTGTGCTCCATCCTTCACTAAGATGATCTGTTGTTTCCTCTCTTTCGTCTGGGGAGGAAATCATGAAACAGACGCGTTGTTCTGAAACTAAAGTGAGACGTGCAGCCTCTCAGTCCACTGCTTTCACACCTGCCCACTGTGACTGATTTTATTTTTGTTTTAGGAGCAGATCGTTTTACACTTTCCTCATTCTTGTACAGAAGCTGTAATTTCTTACTGACCTTTGGATTGCAAGAAGGGAAAAGAGCAGCGCATTGAGGCGAAAGAAAAACAGTGGGCATAAAGGTTGACATTTCCTTAAAATTAGATTATTTTGGTAAAACCACCAGTTTATAATTTTAATACTTGATTTTATATTATTCAGCTCAGTATCATGGCAGGTCATGAAATATGTTTTATATGCAATATATTGGTTTCATGTACATGGACAAATTGTTTTTCTTTTTTTTTGTGTAGAAACACAAATTAGACAGATCGACAGGACTATGCAACGCCAGAGCGAGTTACGCACAATGAAGTATCCTTGAATACCACTTATAGTTGGGATAGATTTGTTGCATAAACATGAATTCTGATTTGTAACTTACAACAATTGGCATATTGTGTGAAGAACCAAGAGATTGTATTTTGTGACTTTGTTACTGTTGGATTCATGACCTCCATTTTTAACAGCAGCTGTCAAACATTGTTCAAACTCACAGAACTTTATTCAAAACGCGGAGTGGAGCTTGATGCAATTATGGTCCATTTGATAATGGACCATAATTGCATGATTTAGGATGGGGGGGGGGGGGGGGGCCCCTTTTGATTGACACCCCCCTTGGGGTTGAGAAAAAGAAACATTTGGGGAGGGGAACAAGTTGACCTTTTGCTTTGACGGAGCGATTGTTATGTTTTTTACCTAAAAGCCAATTAGGGGGAAAGCGATCAAAAGGGCTGAACTAGATGTTGTCTACTGTAAATACATAGAAAAAAAGAAGACGGACTAGTGGTTCCTCTGAGAAGCTCTTAATCTTCTTCCTCTGCTGAAAGATGATGACTTTAACTGGATGATCAGGAGAAACTCTCTCTTCTTTTTAACGGGGGGTTGTTTGCTTGTAAGCAGCGAGGTTTTTTTTTTCCGTCTACCGCCTGATGATGAGAAGAGAATATCAATCACTCGGTTGAGGAGGGAAGAAGCGATGTGCCACAGCAGAGGTGAGCTCATGTTGTATGTATGAGCTCCAAACAAGTGAGAGCCTTTGGAGGAAAAAAAAACACAACTGGAAGCGAAGGCGAGAGGATTTTAAACAATTGCAAACCTCCGAGGAGCAGCTTGGTCGCAACTGCTCAAGCGTCCTTGGACAAATGAAAAGACACATGAGAGAGGACATCGAGTTATTCCCTGCAGCAGACGTTCTGACTTGTTGAAACGCTGGCGGCAGTATGACCGTTAATCTTAAGAGACAA